GTCAAACCAGACGTCCATTGTATCCGTCCCCTTTTCATAATCAGCTGCTTTATCACGATAATTCTCAGGAAGTAGGTCTTCCACTGACATATACCACCATGCGTCACTACCCTTTTGGGAAATTATAGCTGCCAGACAAGGTTATCAAATAAGGTTACAGAAAACATAGCCAGTAAATAATAACCAATAAAAAGACCATACTGTCTTATAGGCCTTACATATAACATGGTTAATAGTCTCTTCATTCATGAGGGGTTCTTTTGTCTTAACATGATAAAAGGCCGGAATAGGGACACCCCATGTCCTTTGTCTTGAGATGCACCAATCAGATCGACTGGAAGTCATGGCAGATATTCTATTTACTGCCTGAATGAAAAATTGCCAAACAATACAAGGAAGATGCTGAGTCAAGCAGTATGATATTAGAAATATTCCACAGCAAGGTGGATCAGATCATGTGGTTCACGTGCTGTGAGTCACCTTTCACAGTTAACATCCACACATGGTACATTTAAACTGTGTACTCAAGAAACAAATTTCAACTTGTAAACTCAGTATGTATTCCACTAACCTGATGTGGTATCCATTTTACATTGTTGATTGCATCCATGGTCGCCGTGCGAAACCCCTCAACCGATGCAAACCACTGCTCAGTCGCTCTAAATATTGTGGGTTTCTTAGTTCGCCAATCATATGGGTATTTATGAGCTGCATGACAAAGAAGGAAATAAACCATGAGACTCTGAAGCAAATTTTTCCTCAAATGGTTCCTCAGAAAGCATCTGATTCAAACTCACCATAAGATTCTTCCATGATAAGAGACATATTCTCATCCAGGTAACTGACAACAGCAATATTCCCTTCTCCAAGGACAGAGAGCCCACTAAACTGTCCAGCTTCATCAGTGAACTTTCCTTCATCATCTACCGGAGAGACAAGAGGCAGCCCATACTTCAGACCGGTTGCGTAATCCTCCTGACCATGTCCAGGGGCAGTGTGGACCAACCCTGTTCCTGATTCCGTAGTTATGTAATCACCCCCTATAACGACTGGACAGTCCCTGCTGTCAATTGGATGTGTGTACCTACAACCATGATGACACACCATAAATTAGGGATTCAATTTATAGCATCATATGCAAAACTGAATTTCTTTTATTCTCCAACTTAAAATGTAACCTGCAGTTTTCAAGATCTGAACCAAGGAATGATTTACTAATGATAAGCTTCACACCCCATTTCGCTTCTAATGCTGGGACAAGGTCAGTCGCTACAATCACGAACAGCTTTTGTTGATTCTTTAGAACTTTCCCAGGCATTTTCTTTCTATTGCCTGTCCCAGCAGGTTCATCTTCTAACAATGACTGCACTTCCACAACAGAGTACTGAAGCTTTGCATTCACCGCGACAGCTGAAAGTTAAACAAGAAGGAAAGGAAGAAGAGTCACGAAATGTGCTTATATAGCAGTCAAATATAGAAAAGCAGGAAAAAGGTACTTATCAATTTGAAAGCTGAGGGAAACATATACAGATTTGGAGAAGAAATGTGAGAAAGAACGGATACAATGTAAACTAGGATGCAATATGACAGCTGCGAGAAACAGATACTAATATAATGCCTCACCAGCATTGGCTGGCATAGTCCACGGTGTAGTTGTCCATACTGCCAAGCATATATTAGGGATAAACTCATCTAAAAAGCTTGTTTTCGCTCCGCCAACCAATTTGAAAATAGCATATATGCTTTTGGAAATATGACCTTCCGGATACTACACATAACAGCAGATACAGGTCAGACTGGTATCAGATAACAAGGTAAAGTGTGGAATCATCAAAACATTATTTCATGAAAGATGCATGCATTATGACAGGAATAGAATACTACAAAACCAGCGTTCATTAAGGTTATATACAGAATTACTCTAGGTCTAATGGAAACAGATCACATTATGGTTAAATGTCAACAGCAGTATGGTATAGCAGACTTAAATATTGCTCTGAGCTGGCCATAATATTATTATTACTCTTAGGTTATTTGAGAAGGAAAGGGAATTTAAATATACCTCTAGTTCAGCTTCTGCAAGAGCAGTCCGAGATGAAGGGCTCCAGTGAACTGGCTTCCTACCTCTATAGATGTACCCTTGCAGCGCCATCTGGCCAAATACTTCAACCTACAATAAACGAAAAAAAGATATGTTGACTTTATCAGGCTTTGAAGAACTTTACTAATAATCATCTCCTACATGGATATTTAATCCAGTACATGGGAGGTTAGACCATTACCTGGGCTGCTTCATATTCCGGATCAAGAGTTAGATAAGGATTGTTCCAGTCTGCCCATACTCCAAACCGCTGTAAACACCAAGTATTATACCATATGTGCTAAATGTCAAAGGAATACCGAACAATATTTTTCATAGTGTTATAATGTCCTAAGAGATCTAAATTCATAATGACTGATGCATTCAAAACAAGAACTTATATATGAAAACAAAGCTTGATAGCCACCTTAAATGATTCCATTTGTGTTTTGACTGTTGCTTTTGCAAATTTTGCAGCCTTTGCCCTTAATTTTAATGGTGTAAGTTCCTTTCTCACTTCCTGATCCAGGGACTGCAGAACTGAAATATTTTATGGTTTCAGGCAAGTAACTAACTGGAACATTAAAAAAGCAGAGTTACTTTCTGTTTCTATTGATTCGAAGGTCCATATCCTATTAGGCAAGCACTTGCCTTTCAACTCAATCGGAAGGCCATGGCAATCCCACCCAGGAACGTACTGAACTTTATAATTTTGGAGCAGCTGCATGAAACAGATAGTTGATAAGAAGCCATACGGAGAGTAAATCGTTGACCAAGTAAAGATTTGAGAATACCTTATAGCGATTAATAATATCCTTCAGTATCTTGTTGAGAGCATGACCCATATGCAGATCTCCATTGGCATAAGGAGGGCCATCATGAAGAATGAAACTTCCCTGAAATTCCAACTACACTCTCAGACACCACTTTCTCAAAGAAAAGTTGATATATGAAAAATCTTGAGAATCTCACTCCATTGTTATTATCAGAAACTCTCTTGAAGACCTGGTGCTCTTCCCACAACTTCTGAAGTTCAGGTTCTCTTGTCAAAGAATTAGCTCTCATACCAAAACCTGTCTTTGGCAAATCAACTGTGTGCTTGTACTTTCCATCTTCTTGCTTCTCCCCTAACCAAACACAACAGTAAATGAGTGTCGCAATTGCATAACAGAAAAACAGTATTAGGAAAAGTACAAGTTGTGAGATGCAAACCTTCAGATGCTTTCTTTGCTGCCATAACAGGCCCACGAGACCTTCGCTTTGATGAATGACCAAACTCATTGTTTGGTTCAGTTGAATACCGTGAAACATATATGAAAGAAAAAGCCTTGACAGAAGACCTTCGCTTGGCAAGAAAAGAATCCAACGACGTGTTTCTCCTTAAATTAGAACAACTTCTACCTGACAATACCTGAACGGGGACAAACCACATCTCAAAAACTATTTCCACGCAAATTTTCAGCAAGACACAAGAACAAATGATATAGATGAAGTAGTTTTTCCAAGCAAGTTCCTTAGACAACACAATTTTCTATGAAAGAACAGAGCCTAAAACAGACTTAGTTTGGTTAATAGGGCTCTAAGCATTACAGAGGGCATATAGTGAGATGCACAGAAAGTGAGAAATCAAGTAAACTACTGGCAATGGATAAAAGTCAACCCAGAACCCTCTGAAATTTTATCGAACAACTGGTGTGCAATACTAAAACCTTATGAACACAAACAAACAACGGAAAAGGGCACAACTTTAACGATACCCACATACGGAAATTGCCATTGCATTGATAAGTAAGAACCAATTCGGAGACAAATGTGTTATAGAAAATCGAATTTGAAAGGAAGGTTATCTTTTTGAAAAAGAAAAGGAAAGGAAGGTTATCAGTTATCACTTTATCAGTATTCAAAAAACAAAATAGAGCAAACGAATTTCAAAGTATCCATTTTTCACATTCACGTACTCTGTAAGATGAAGATTGAACCATCGCCATGGTAGCAGCTTCCCTGGGATTTCCCGCAAAGGATTTGAAGAAAGATGTCATCTTTCTTTACTTTTTCTCTTTGCTGCTTCTTCTATCTCTCAGAGCTCATTTTGACGAAACAAGAGTAACAAAGAAAGACTAACGTCGCCAAACGAAGGAAGGAAGCTTATGTGTGTATATATGTATGTGTCAATGTGTGTGTGGATAACTGAAACTCTGAAACTAAAACCAAACCTCAGAACTCTTCTCTTCAGTTTTTTGGGTTTTATGACTTTATCCGTTTAAATCCCTAAAATCTCTTCTTTTTTCTTTTAATACCAAAAAGAAAAACTTTTTTACAATCTCATAATTTTTTTTAACATCTAATTAAATTCTTTAATACCATGATTTACAATGTCATTAAGGGCATCCTCGCTGCAATGTCACGAGGATGGTCTAAGAAACTTCGAAAGAAAATTATTACATAAGCATAAATATGTGCCATATACCGAAGATGACATTTCTAAAACCAGCTCCATTGGTGGTACTAATTAGGTTGCTTTACATTTTTGTGGGCCAAATTTAAATAAAAAGTGTTGTAAAGAGCCCAGTATATAAAGAAGCGTTTATTCACGGAAGCAACCATTAAGCAACGCTATGTGTTTTTATATGGTTGGTTAATAAGTAAAAAAAAAAAACTTTTTTTCTTTTCCAATTTCTTTCTTTTTAAAATCTCTTTCTTCTCTCCGGATTTTAATTTTGAACATCTTACATGTGATACTCTAGTGGAGATGATCTAAGTAGTGAATTTGACTATGTTTTCTTAAAGCCTAACTCCAACGGATTCTTTAAACCGTTATTTTCCTCGTTGGTAATCAATATTCTCATGTGAAGGTTGTACATGTCTAACTTTTCTTTGTAGAAACACTAAATTGCACATTGTATTACAAAACCCAAAATGCTGATTTAAAGAGAATTTACAAGACAGAAAATTAATTATTTTGCCACAATATAATAATACAAATATAAATGTAAACGAAAGATACAGAAACTAATTAAAGAACATGGACAACACAATTGATGAAGAAACGAACAAATAAAAGTTCCATTATAAATCTAGGCATCATTAGTAATGCAAGACGTAACAGTTATACTCAACAGTAGCATCACCAGTCTTGCGGTCGAACTCCTTGGTCCGAGCCTCGACATATCCTCTAGCGAACCGGAACATTCCACTACCTCCAACCACCGGCATTTCCCTAACATCTGACATCACTACGTTCCGACCAAGAATCGTTATGCTACTGCCATTGTACTCTCCTGTCTTAAAAGCGAAGGTCATAGCCATCAAGAACCCTAGTTCCTTTTGGTCTGCTCCAGCGTACATACCTTGTGCTTGTCCTACCAAAGTAGAGTTAATGGGCACATCTGATGTTAAAGCGTTGTCTATCATGGTGACTGATCCAAAGAACGAGGAAGATGAGTAGTCTGGAACCGGCCGTTGGATCATGATGGAACTTGGGTGTCGACCACTTACAATGTCATGCCAATATACACGAAGATGTGTGAGTTTCTCTTTCTCACCGAGGCCGAGGTGTTTCCGGTTAACTTTTCTTGCAAAGTCTTCACCGTTTTTTCCAGCGGAGGCAACGGTGATGGCGAGGAGGAGGATTTGTGCGGCGAGGATGAGATTAATGAACTTTGCCATGTTAGCTTTATGTGGTGGTTGTGGTTTCTTTGTTTTTATGTGTTGTTGATGCAACTTGTAATGCTATATATAACAAGGATATAGAAAGAGATAAACTAGTGTGTGTGTATATATAGAAGGAGACGTGCTATTTGAGAAATCTTCTAGAATTTAAAGTAAGTTTGGATTTTATTTCGTGAATGGAATGTGATATATTGTATTTTATGGTGGAAGTTACAAAAAAATCTCAATCAAGATCAGTTTCTAAAAGTGTGATTGGTAGAAAATTTGTAGATGAGATGAGAGCATTTGTATAAGTTGCAATTGTTGATTCCTCTAGGCTTTTAATTTTACAGATTTTTTTTCATTAATAATTAACATTACTTTAATTATATATATATATATATTTTTTCTTTTCTTTTTGAAACTATACGTTAACTATGAAATTATAAGTAGAAATATGGAATTCTTAAAATGTATTGAAAGATGTAGAGTGTGAATGTGTGATGTTCAAATATTTTTCTTTAAAAAATCACCATATAGTTTATAAAAATGTGTGAATACCACTTAAATCAATAGTAAGAATAAAAATTAACAAATATTTCTTATAAGCATATTTTGTGAATTATAATATCTATTTCATGATAAAATATTTTGGTTTTAAAAATGTAACAGAACTAGTTAAAAAAATCTCTATAGCCACTTGAATAGCGTGTAACTTAAATAATTCGTGGCTTTTTTAAAATCACCTTAAAGCCACGAATTTTCGCGACTGTGAAGTGGCTATAAATATTTTTTTTACTAATTAATCTATTACAAAATTGTATTTCTCGTATATTGTTGTTTCATTTAAAAATATATATTTAAGGTATATATTTTGTAAGAGAAAAATATAAATAAAAAAAAACAATTTGATGGCTATTTTTAATTAAGGTACGGTCAAATGTCTTAAAGCATATTCATCAATGATTTTTTGGTGGGTATCTATAATAATAATAAAAAAATAGCAGTAAAATATTAAATGGATATCTAGAATAGTTGAGAAATTCATCTCAAAGTCTCTTAAGATGGATTTTCTTAACTAATCTAGATACCCATTCAATATCTTATTATTATTATTATAATTACTATTAATTTTTCATTATTAGAAATTTTATTTAAAAACTATGGATAAAAATGCTTGTAAAGAATAACGAGTTCGAGATATCAGCTTAAATTTTGAGAACGAAGTTATTTTACAAAATTTATCGAAAATGTAGGTTATCATTTGTGAAAAAACTCCTTTATAGGTACTAATAAATTGTTCTTTAGTCAATTAAATTTTCGTTTGTGTATTATTTATGCAATTAATTATATTTAATATGTGGATCCCAAATGAAACAAAATGGCACTACAACTGAAGTAACTAAAAAATATTTTTAGTTAAGAAAATAATTTATTTAACGTGACAAATAAACTATTTGTATAAACTACGAACAAATATATGGTCTCTAGTATCTTGTGATTTTTTTTTTTTGTAGGTATAGCATTGAAAAGGTTGTAAATGGAGTGAATGTTACGGTTACAGTAAGTAGATACAATTAAGCAACTGAGAGAGTCTAACAAAAAAAATAGTAAAAATAACTAAGTATGACTCTCTAAATAAGTTGTAAGTAGTCATATTTCTGGTATGATGTTAAATGAAATGACTCAGTAGCGTTGATGACGTTTGATTACTTTATTATGTGGTTGATTACACTTTTTGTTTTAACTTTGATATCCTATTTTTCAAAATTACCAAACTTATATACTTCAAATACTTCTTAGTTATTAAAATTTATAATGCTACTCTCTTAATATTACCACCATTTTTCTTTCATTTTTTGTACGATTTATTTTTTAAATCTAAATATGCCAATCTCTCGGTTACCAAAAAATAAAAATGCCAATATCTCCTTCATCTACCAAGTTCTCAATTTTCAATCAAAAATGAAAATACAATGTAATTCTTATTTCACTTTATGACAGATACTTTTTATTTATATATTGATTCATTTTTTCAACAAATTTCATCAATATAATTTTGTATTTATTTAACATCTATTTTCACTAATGTGAAAACTGAAATTTATAAAATGAGAAAAATGTAAAACATAAGCAAAACATAAATAAATATTTTGTGTATGTATTTGAGAACATGTGAATGGGATTATCTGACTAGCATATCATAACTCGTATATTGCCACATTAGTAGTTTGATAATTTATCATTAATTATCAATAGTATTTTTTTTTAAGAAAACTATTTTGGTAAAAGTAATGATGCAAGTTCTCAAATTACATGTGTTTTTATCTTTCTTCTCTTTTTTTTTTTTGATTAAGGAGTTGTTCTTTTCTTTTTATATTGACAATGAGATTTTATATGGAATAAGGAAATTTTAATTTATAGGTTGTAGTAAGCTCTCTCCAAATTGGTTTGTTCATACATATAAAAACAAACGAAACAAACACAAAGACACCTTGGTCAAACTCTTTATAAAATCTTGAAAGACCTATATAATCGGGAAAGCAAAGCAATCAACTATTTTTAATTTTACTTTAACAAAAAGTTAAGTATAAACAAGAGGCTTCGCGTGAGCATCGGTCCCAGCAACAACGCTCAACCACACTCATAGCTGCTCACTTCTCATTCAAATAGAGACCAATACATACTTTTCCTCAACTCTACAATAACAATTAACAAAGCAAATCAAGAAAGCTAAAGAGAACCAAAATGGCTAATGAAAGTGAGCGTGTTGTGGTCGTAGGTGTAGATGATTCAGCACATAGCTACCATGCACTCGAGACAGCTTTAGATCTCTTCTTCATACCTTTCAAGAGCAGCCCTCAATTCAAACTTGTCGTTGTTCACGCCCGACCAACAGCGAGCTCTTTCCTCGGTGTTGCTGGTCCCGTAACGGTAGATGTAATACAAATGGTGGAACAAGATTTGAAAAAGACTGCTGAGTTGGTTAAGAAGAAGTGCGCCGAAGCGTGTTCGGCTAAATCCGTTGAGATCGCGTCTTCGGAGGTGATTGAAGGAGATCCTAGGGATATAATGTTGGAAGCTGCGGAGAGACATCATGCATGTGTTCTTGTCCTTGGTAGCCATGGTTATGGAGCTGTCAAGAGGGTGTTTTTGGGCAGCGTGAGTGACTATTTAGCTCATCATGCACATTGCTCCGTGATGATCGTCAAGAAACCTAAGGCTAAACCTACTTCTACTGGTCATCACTGACGAGAGGAATACAACGTTTGTTATATACTTATATATATAACCATTCTATTTTCTTAAGTAAGACTCTATCCATTGAAGCTTTGTATACTCGTCTTCCCCAACATCTTCAGTTTCAACGTTAGTAATGTATCAATTCATTGAACGTTAACCAAAAAAAACATGTATCAATTCATTGTATTCACTACATTAATTGGTTCTTATTTGTCTTATATATTCTCCTTGCTTTCTTCTATATCGAAACTATTGCAAAAACCAAGTTCTTGAAAAATATTTGTAATGACCATATGTAATTGAAATGTTCCACATTATAGCAATTGCAAAGAACTTGATCATCTATAAACTAAGTGTTTCAAGGTCAAAACTTGCTCATCCGAACCACGTTTGTTATGGAGCCAACTCAGCCAAGTACTATAGGTTTGATAATGACTTTAAGGAGCTAGCTATATATGACCATTGATACAACCATATGACTCTAACCCTATGGCTAGATCAGACAAAGTGACTTGAGAAGACAAAAGTTAAACTGAAAAATTGTAGGGCTTTACCCCGAAGGGAGCCCTTCAAGAAATTCTCAAAGGCCTAAAAGACCAAAGAGGGGGTTTGGAAATAGTTTTCAACCAGCAATAGACGCGCCTCGGTTAGTACCTCATTAGCTGCGTCATTGCCCCAAGCGCAAAGATAACTTTCTTTCACCTAATGCCTCTTTCTTTTATACCTTAACCACACCCACCCACTTCATATACACTTCCGATGTGGGATTATTGAGTACCTTATTACAATATGTAACATATTTCTTAAATACTTACATTCCTAAAAAGTAATATTCTAAGTACGAACCAAAATGATTGATAATGGTAAATAAGGAACCAAAATGATTGATAATTCTAAGTACGAACCAAAATGATTGATAATTCTAAGTACGAACCAAAATGATTGATAATGATAATGGTAGAGGCCGCGCGAACGCAGGCCTCCGCTGCCACAAATAATGACGCAGGCTCTCCCACTTGGGGAGACCTTAAGCTAAGCACCCCTCCTTTATGTGCAATGGAGGTCACTAGCTTAGGCCACTCGTCTTCTTGATCACAAGTCGACCCCGTCCAGGTAAGTACTTCTCTACGTCGCTCCCCATCTTCTCTTTATACTCTGCTTCCTCAATCTTTGTTTCAGGTCTAACCGATGTGGGACATTAACACATCTCAGTATCTCACCCACACTGACAAGAGTACATAACGTGATGTTTGGCTCTTAGAAAACGACATGAGTTTTGTCTTATATACACATTTGGGCTATACTGTCTCTAGGCCCATTTATGAATCTTGCAACATAGAGTTCTAAACCATTTGTTAATATGGGCCATACGGTCTCTCGGCCCATTACGGAGCTGTTTAATATTTGATTAACGTAAGGTTTATGAAGTGTTTAACTTTATCTTAAATAAACTCAAAAATTAGGAAGTCTAACGACGACAATTTAGTGATAGAAGTCTCACACATTCGGCTTCAGCTCTCTCCCTCTGCGATTCACCTCTTGACGACGACGACCCTGTCTCTGATCAGTGATCAGCTTCTTCTCCTCCTCTTCTCTTCCATGGCGACGACTCTCTTCATCTGAATTGGGTACTTTTTTCAGTTTTGCTACATCTTACGCTTTTGATTTCAGTACGCGGAATCAGACTCTTTGTTTGCTAATTGTTAGCGAGCTTTTTATCCTTTGTTTTGATCATATGTACGAAATTGCAAACCTAAAAAGCTTGGTTCGATGTGTTTAGGGTTGATATCACGGTTCTGATTTAGCATCTGTTATTGTTGTTATATTCGTGTTAGGGTGTGGAATCGAAGAGTTAGAGTGAGGAGAGATTTTTGGAATTTGGGGTTTGAATTAGTTATGGATGGGAATAAGGATGACGCGTCGAAGTGTTTAAGAATCGCTGAAGACGCCATTGTTATTGGTGATAAAGAACGAGCGTTGAAATTTATCAAGATGGCTAAACGGCTTAATCCAAGTCTCTCTCTTGATCATCTTGTTGCTGCTTATGAGAATCTGGATTCAGTTTCGAGGAATCGGTCTGTTGATGAAAAGCTTAAAACTGTGGATGGTGATGGTAAGCTTGAGACTGGGAAGGGTGATGAGAATAAGAAGTATACTGAGGAAAGTGTGGAATTGGTTAGGAATATAAACAGGAACAAGGATTACTACGCGATTTTGGGTTTAGAAAAGAACTGTTCGGTTGAAGAGATTAGGAAAGCTTATAGGAAGTTGTCTTTGAAAGTTCACCCGGATAAGAACAAGGCACCTGGTTCAGAGGAGGCGTTTAAGAAACTTTCGAAAGCGTTTACGTGTTTGAGTGATGGTAACTCAAGAAGTCAGTATGATCAGGTGGGATTAGTTGATGAGTTTGATCATGTTCAGAGGCGGAATCGTAGGCCAAGGAGGAGATATAACACGCGGAATGATTTCTTTGATGATGAGTTTGATCCCGATGAGATATTCAGGGCGTTTTTTGGTCAACAACGAAACATGTTCCGTGCTTCCCATGCTTATAGGACTGCTTCCCATGCTTATAAGACTAGACAAGCGCGTAGCCAACCCCGAGAGGAGGAACCTAGTGTGGCTGGACCAAGCTGTTTGACGATTATTCAGATTATACCATTCTTTCTACTTCTGTTGCTGGCTTATCTACCCTTTTCTGAACCAGAGTATTCTCTGCACAAGAGCCAGTCTTATCAGATGCCGAAGACAACACAGAATATGGAGATTAGCTTTTATGTTAGATCATCACCAGCATTTGATGAGAAGTTTCCGCTGGGTAGCTCTTCTCGAGCTAATCTTGAGGGCAAAGTGATCAAAGAGTACAGACACTTTCTTTTCCAGTCTTGTCGCATGGAGCTCCAAAAACGGCGGTGGAACAAGAAAATACCAACCCCTCACTGCAACGAGCTTCAAGATCGTGGATTTGTTGATAGGTAACAGCTTTGCATTTCCTCCACATATTTTTTGGGATTTTGTCATGTACTTCATACTTATGACCCCCACGAATCATTTTTACTAAGCTCCTCCACTGTTAAAAAAAAGAAAATTGAATAAATCTCTAAGATCTTAACAAAAGAAGCCTTTTTAACAAGTGAAGATCTTTAACATGGCCTTACACATAAAACCTAAAACCTAGTTCCCTCATACAAAACATACGGCCCATGCCAAATGCTAGTGTTAGGTTTTCTTATGGTCACACAACAATCATTGATGTTTAATCCTTTGTTTATTTGACACAAAACAGGCAAATACCGATATGATACCCGCCCAGAACTGTCCAACAATCACTGAAGACAGCCAGATCTTGATGTTCCAGAGGTTCTTGGGCCGAACGGATAAACTGTAATGTTCAGTAGGAAGGATAACTATAATATTTCGTTTTTTTTGTTGCATATAGAGTTGGAGATGATAATTCATTGGAGAACAACAAAGAAGAAATACTCATAACAGAGGTACCTGTTGCATACTCACATTATGATTCAAACAAAAAAAGGCAGTCCAACAATTCTCTATAGAAAATTCTCTTACTTGTTAATATGACAATAAGGCTTTGAATTGTTTCACTCATATCTATCTCTATTGGTGACGTTGGTGGAAAACTGGAAATAAGTAGTCATGGTAGCTCTTTTTTGCTTCACGGTTAGAACTTTTTGGTTCAAGATTCTCGATTCTTGACCATATATTATATCAGAAACAAAAATGTTATTCTTACAGCTAGATTATAAATGTGGATCATGTGAAAAGTAACATAACAAATTTCAATGTCTTGCATGATTCCACAACGCGTAAAGAGTACTTGTGTTATGCTGACCACATTAATTCGACAACTGTTCAGCTATTAGGTCTTAGAGGGTGAAAATGAGACCAAACAACAATTTCAAAACCTGTGAAAAGTGGTCTTTCTGTTCAACGAGAACGAATTTAACTAATAACTCAGAGCCCGTTCGAGTTTTATCTTCAAGGTTATATTACTTGCTCGTGCTAGCCTGGTCTGATATTTGTAGAGTCAGGTACGTCTACGGGATATGAGTCGATAAAGTCGAGCCATTTGTTTTCTATATTGGGCTCCACGTCTCGGATGCATCTCCACACCGCACTGTTACACTTGAACCCACTTCCAAATGCAATCTGCAAGACCCTATCGCCTTTTCTCATTCTCCGCTTTGCTTCCAAGTAAGAGAGAGTGTACCAAATGGATGACGAAGAAGTATTCCCGAACCTATGAAGAGTCATCTTTGATGGCTCGATGTCTTCTTTTGTTAAGTTCAGGTTCATCTCCATTGCTTGAATAACAGCTCTTCCTCCTGTATGAATGCAGAAATGCTCAAACGCTGTCTTGAAGTTTGGTGTATAAGAAGAAGTCGACTCATAGATCTTTAGTTTCTTACTAAGAATGTTTTGTATCACATATTGGAATTGCTCTAGGTAAGGTAATACCGAAGGTCCCAGTGAAGTTAGATTCATCTTCAGCATATCTCCAGCAACACTGATTACATCTTTGGTTATCGATACCCCTTGCTTTTCCTCAGAGTCTATGTCTTGATAGATACATCGGTAAGCTCGATCATCTTTTGCTTTATTTGTCCTAACAACATGCAAGAGCTCATACTTTGCATTTCCTCTGTCATGATCATTGCTAGACATCAATACTGCAGCTGCTCCCATTCGAAAGAGACAGTTGGTAAGAAGCATAGATCTGTCTTTGCCAATATACCAATGTGTATTCAGCGCTTCGGTGCTAATAATAAGAGCCAAGGAGCCTCGATGAACCTTTAGCAAGTCATTAGCCAAACCAACTGACAGAATCCCAGCTGCACAGCCCATCCCGGACAGGTTAAAGCTCTTGATATTGCTTCTCATATGGAATTTGTTGATCACCATTGCACTTAGAGACGGTGTAGGCGAATGCAAACTGCAGTTGGTTATCAGTATGTCTATGCTTCGAGGGCTTAGTTTGTTTTTCTTCAGGAGATCCTCAACAGAGGTGAAAATAGTGGTCATGGTTTCGATTTGGACTGAGGGAAGAGATTTCTTGAGTGGTATCTCCATCAGGGAAAGAGGAATGCTGGTTTGGTTGCTTAACCAGGATCTCTCAAGAATCCGGGTTTGGAAGTCAATACTGTCTTGATCGAGCTTGTCATCGAGGTAAATGGTTTCGATAAGGGTTGACATTGGGACGCGGTTTGATTCAGGTGCGCGATAACAAGTGAAATCAAGTAAGTAGACTTTGACTCTTGTTCTAATTCTTTGGTAGATGAGATACAATACTAGCAAACCGACAAAGATCTCAAAGACAGAACCACCTGAGCCTAGGAACGTCGTCAGCTCTGACATGGTCAAGGAGATTGGTGAAACTCTGTCTATCCTCGTTTGGTTCATTTCACTTGAAAGTTCAAGTCTTTCATGTGTGATTGATTCGCCCACTATGGTTGCTTAGACGAAGATATAAAAGAGAATGAAATAAACATGTGGAAGTTGTTGCAGAGGATTTCACTGCGTTAGGTCATCCTATTTGTTTTCAGCATTCATTGTGTGATTTTGTAACAATTAGTCACAAACACCAACACGTCTTCTTACTTGTCTGATTAGTAAATAGCCAACATGGGTCGTGTGGTCTAATGCTAGCAACAGTACTTTTTAGAAGAAAGAATATAAAAAAGTATAAAAATGCATGTCAATCTAATAGACGACGTAGCAGAAGAGGAGAACATGTCATTAAAGACAAGTAGTAGGTTAAGGCAATTACAGCAGACACTTTAGATTCTGGTTCGGCCTTCGGCAATAACTATGAAAACGATCGACGAAACTTATACAAAGCAACAACACACATGAGAGCATGCATGAAGTCATAGAGAGAAAGAGGTATTAAATGGATTGGTTTTTTGAGTTTGACCCATCAATGTGAATAGTGTTTTTTATAGACCCAACATGTTCTTGTCACACCATGATTGAATCAGATGCGTCGGCAATATAACCATTAAGTTTGTCGTGGTAGCTATATCAAGAGAAAAAGAAAAAAATCTATGGACTTAGAAAATATTTGTTAGTAGTTTTTATTATGAGCGCAAATTTCGGATTTTAATGTGAATAACGAGTGGTTGTGTTGTGTGCTAATTAATCACTCTAGAGACTGTTGAATAGTGATGGATGCCGTGATTTATTCAGATTACGACTTGGATTGTTTCATTTGCATTTTTTTCTTCTTATTCTTTTGTCATTTGCAGAAGTGTAAGCCATACTAAAACGACATGCATTTTTGTATTATACAAAAAAATTGTAGGGAAAAATGACAAAAAAAAACAAATTATATATTTTATAGAAGATAATCAAATATACACACACATATATATATATATATATATATATATATATATATATAACTTAAATGCATTTGAAAACGCAGAAATTTGCACAAAATAAAAAAAAAAACTTACGTTTTTTTTTTAAATTTATCTTTAATTTATCGTATGTCGTTTTTTTTGTTAGATTAGCATTGACTTTTTGAAATCTCAAATAAAAGCCAATGCCGATTATTTTAGATATTAACATGCCATTTGGATTTGGTAGAAGTTTTTTTTGCAAATTTATCACATAAACTGAAATCCAAAAATTCAAATGGTCCAAACAAAACAAATAAATCCGCATTAAAAATTCGAATTCGAGTACACTAAAAATCAAAGGGATGCAACTAATGCAAACGAAAATTCTTAGGTTATGATCTAACTTTTAAGGGTTAGATTCTCACTTGTTAATTCATAGTACCAAACAACAAATTCATTACATCCTAAAAGCTGTAAATATATTGCTATTTGTTATCATAGATCTAGGCCCCCTTCTTGTTTTATTCTTCCTCCGTTTACGTTTCCATGTTTTCATGAATCTAGTCTAGCTATAAAACTTCCATGCTAGTTACATTTGTGACAATTTCTAAAGGCTCTATGAAGTTGGAGCAAGTTAAGAACATGCCTATTATTTTTTTTGTTATTGAGATCTTAATCTATATCTTAAACTTAAAAAATGATCTTAACAAATAACAACACATGACCATCTTTTAAATAATCTATTATACATAGTTTTGGTCTTCGAAACATCGATGATTCCACATGGGAAAAATACAAAAATACAAAAAAAAAAGAGTAAATGAGAAGAAGACCTTTTTGCACTGTCTCTTTGGCTTTGCAGAATCCATTGATATTCATATAATGTAGTTTCATCTCATGGACCCCTTTTACATGTCCTCTTCTACACGTTAAACATAATAATAACAAATCTTCTGTATGCTTTTGTCGTTAAACCCACTCAACAAATATCGATGTGAAAGAAGAAACAAACCAAATTTGCACTGTGTTTGGTTTCTTGAAGATTAGGTGTGATCACTAGTGTAGAGATCAGTGCAACTGTTATTAAATGCCTCTAATTTTGTGGGTTAAAAAATTGAAGTTTTTTTTTTATTATTATTAGGGGACCATGGAATCATAATGCATGTGCAAAGGCATGTGCCTTTTGATTCACTCATCTATCAAACAAAACACAAACTTAAAAGCTTTAGTCAAACCCCATCAAAATTCTCCCCTGGCCTCTTTGACTGGCTTTTTCCAAGTTGGTTTTTTTGGTTACTAATTTTAATTATTACTTATAAATCACACATCATAATCTCAACATAAAGCAAAGCAAGACACATGTTTCTGTTCCTAATTAGAGAAAGAACAATAGAGTTTTTGTAAACATATATACAAAAGTGACTAAAAGCCAAGCTTTGTCCGAAACATGTGTTTCAATTTTTTCAGGTGTAAATTAACAAATAAAGTGATATCACATTAGTTAGAAAAATTTGCATGATATTGAAAACCCAAGTGAAATCTAAACTCAAACCAATTTATTTACCATTGTATCAAAGAACATAAAAGCAAGACATATGGTTAAAAGATGAAAATAATCAAGAGAAGAAAAGGACAAATAGAGAGTAGCCAAAGTATCCTATGTTCCTTGTTTGACAAAAGATGATGATGAACATATAGAGAGACTAGAGTGACATTACAATACTAATATGATTACCAAAAGATCATTCATCATCACCAAGATATTTCAAGAAACACCTTGATGGAAAAAGATATAAAACTAAATATTAATGTATTCATTCTTGTTTAAGATTAATAAAGAGGTTAAGAAAACACTTATTGTGAAAACATTAAAGATTAAAGTTTTTAATATTCAGTTTCTGACTGCTAACAAAGAAGGGATTGCACCCAAGTTTGGAGTTGTGTTCTTGCTTGTTGAATCTGAAATGGTACGGCCTCTTTTACCAGAGGAAGAAGATGAAGTGAAAGCTCTCATGGGACTTGCAAATGCCCAACCCCAGCTTCTGTTCCTTCCTCCACCATGACCCATGTTATGATGATGATGATGATGTTGATGTTCAGCTGATGATGAAGATACCCATGATGATGAAGATGAAGAAGATGATGATGATGTCATTATCATAAACCCACCAAAGATCCCACCACATCTCACCATCTCTCTAACACCATTACTAGGGTTACTACTACTGTTACTGTTACTGACCTTGCCTTTGTTATTATTACCTTCTCTCTGTGACTCAACTCTTCTCAGAGTACAATCTCCAAACCCATTTGTTATCCTCTCAAAGAAATCACCAGAGAAGCTTCTGCTTCCACAACCAACAGATCTAGATCTTGACACTTTCCTCTCACTTGGTGTGACTTCAATGTTAGGGCTTCCATCTTCTTCTACAATCACATCAATGCCGTTTCTGTTCCCACTAACTCCATTCACTGCTCTCTTTGACATGGAAGAAGACGCTGACGAAGAAGACGAAGATCCCATTGTCGTAGTAGTCTCTGTAAACTCTGTTTTTGCTTCGTTCTGGCTTGTGGGTTGGTTAAAGTTTCCAACTTTTTTGCTGCTACTGTGGTGTTTTGAAGAGTAGAGATGAAGAAAAGACCAGAACCCATTCCTCTTTCTCGGGCTCAAATCTGAATCTCCGTACGTTGTCTTAGTCGTCCTCGTTGATTGACTTCTCTTGTAGACAATGTTCCCCGTAGTGGAGGAAGAAGACGAAGCTGTGAGCATCTTCTTCTTCTTCTTAGCCAGCAAAAACGGAAGCTTGTTGCTGCTGTTGTTAGAGACATTTCTAGCTCCGGAAACGGAAAGAGAGAGCGAAGCAGAAAGATTAGCGGCGGAGGAAGAAGTGGTTGTGCTACCGACAGAGTCAGATCTGAAGGAAGGAGAAGAAGAAGTAGAAGAGGAAGCTAAGTGTTTAGGAAGTGGGAAAGAAGAAGTTACGAGCTTTCCAAGCTTTTCTTGGAGACAAAAAGCACAGATCCCACCAGGGTTTTTAGTAAAAGGATGGTTTATGCATTGCATACCATCACCCATGTCTTGGTCTTTCACTTCCACCATTGATGACCTGACCAAAAAACTTACTTGCTCTGTTTTCAGATTCTTCTTGTGAGCTAATGTGGTTCTCTGCTTCTATGTAAAGCTTTCAGCTTTCAGTATTATTTGTGTCTCTTCGTTTGAGAGAGAGAGAGAGGTTGAGAAATGAAGGAGAAGGAGAAGAGAGAGAGGAGTGGGTTGTGGCAGAGAGAGGGGTCGAGTTCCCAGATGCACGTGGGATACTGACTTGTTTGTGGCCTTTTACTCTCTCAAGCTTTTTTCTTTTAATTTTGTTTTGTGTGTGTTTTGTAATCTATTCTTCTTCTTCTCTCAGCTCTTTAAATCTTCCAAAAGGTTTTAACACTAATCTGTTTTTGTTTCTCTCTAATAATCATTTAGGTTTGGGTTGTACTAAATATTTTTTTTTTCACTTAAAAAAGGTTGGTAGATAAGTATTCTACCACACTTTTTACAAACTTAAAAGAGATTCTTACTAAAAATGTTACTTTTTAGATAGAAAATATACAAATTTATCGCAAAAAATAACAAATATGTAATTGATTCAACTTATAATTACATTTTAAACAAATATTGACCGCGATAACTTTTTTAAACATTTTACTTTTTTACGACTAACTATTCTATCCTTTTTAGTTTTTAACCAAAAAAATTAGTATTAATCGGATACTAAATGGGTACGGATATATCCAGTTATGAATTACATTGTTGTATTAATTCGAAATTTCGTAAAAATCAAAACAAGTAACAGGATTTAATGATGTAGTGCGTCGTATTCGATTTTTTTTTAATATGATTCTTTTACTCCTATTTTTTGGGTAATACAATTAAAGTAAGAAGATTTCAACCGCAACAAACAAATATAAAAACTGTAACTAAAATATTCATAAAGCGTTGAAAGGTGAAAGACGTTAGTCGTCGGCAAGTTTTAACTAAACGTCAATTTAAGTTTTGAAGAGATTTATTGGAAGAAGTTTACTGGAAGAATGAGAGAGTTTTAGGCTTCAGTAATACATCTGAAATATTATCCCTATTGTTCTTTCATGTTTCTCAAAAATATTTCTTATTGAAACCATTATAATAAACAAAAACTTATTTCAATTCCAAAAATTCCTCCAGTGTTTTAATTTTGGTTCAAACTATGCAGCAAGCATTTCAACAGTAAACAACTAGATTTTATATTGTATCTTCAGAAACTCACCTTTTTTTTTTATGAAGTTGCAAAACCAACGATAGCATTTGTTAAAAACCTTAGGAAGAAGCCACGATGTATACTGAAGGTTAATCCAAAACAGAATAAGCATTTGATTTACAAAACACACTCGGTTACACAGTTTTCCAAGTTATAACAATTTATATTTCATGAGTATTTTTTTTCACTCCAATTGGCAAATCGAGTATTCATCAGAAAATGGGGATGTCTCGAGAAGGAAGCTGTAAAGTGTAATGGATAGAGTTTTAATTTCCTCAACATTTAGTTCTGAAAGTAACAAAAGAAAAAAAAGAATTAGTAAAATACAATGGCCAACGAAGCCCATAAACATTGTATTCATGTCATTTCATATTAAGCCCAAACAAAACAAAACCCACTCCATCATCATAGCCAAATAAAAAGAAAACAAAATTAAAAATTTCACAAATTAAAACTTAAAACATTATTAAAAAAAATCTACAATTGTAACTGTATACTCTAAAACTAGGCGACTGCAAATTTGTTGGTACCAAAATTACATATTGAATAAATCTATGAATTACATTTAAATAATTATAATCTTTCATAATTTTATTCATCATCTTCTTTTAGTCATGATGTTAAATAAAATTGTATTTCATTTCTTATTTCACAATTTTGGCAGTAAAAATACACCAAATATAGATATATGGATTATTATTGTTTACAATGTAATATATACATACAAAATAACACGTTCCGAATAAAATAAACTTGAAAAATTTTCCTGCGCTGTAGCGGCAGTAGCGCGGATCAGATCCTAGTTATATATTAGATGAAATGTCATGTTTTATTTGTAAACTATTTTTGCATGTTGTGTTTTTCTATAGTTAATCACAATAAAAGACTAGAAATAAACAATGAATTATTTTTATAGTCTCTTCCACTTTATTTGTTTACCGATTTTTGTTTCCGCTACACTAAAAATAAAATATAACCTCAAAAATAAACTTATCTCTAATTTTATTTAAAAAGAGTCATTAATAATATGCTTAAATTCATCGCTAAAAATCCATGTAAAAATATATACATATTATATATAAAATTTTCAATAGTTTATATATTTTAAAATTTATGTCACCGGACATATTTTATTAAAAACCACACATGGGCGATCTAAATTTCACACATCCTTTTATTAAAAACCTCTTCCTATACTAGTAATAATTAGAATTTAGGTTCTTTTTGTTAAAGGGTTTAATAACTAGAATTTATGTTACTATATTGTGGACATAACTGGTTAATTATATTAATATATACAACCAGTTACAACTTATTCCTATAGTGTAAAAATATCTGAACATTTACAGTTTTCTCTACAAATTTTCTTCAATATTTAAAATATATTCCTATTAATATCTCTATGAATTTTAATCGGGTATATTAATATTAAAAAAAATATATATGTTTTGGAGTAAAAGTTATGCATGCATGCATATGTTTTGGAGTAAAGGTTATGTATGCATGCATGTGTTTTGGAGTAAAAGTTAGAATGGTTTTAGAAGTTTTATGTCTCTCTCTCTCTCAACGTTTAAGTTTAGTGTAAGACTAAATAGAGCTAACCTTTATGATTGTTTCATTAAAAATATTAGGAAAGATTGTTGCAACCTTTATGATTTTCACAACGTAGGATTCCAGCTTATACGTACATTTTTAAAACAAATTATCATTTCGAAGTATTAATGGAATCACTAATGAGTATTAACGTATGAATCAAGCGATCTTACAAACACATCTTCCTCAGCTTCCACACCATCACGAGGTGGAATGGGCTGTTGTACAACATATATTGACAAAGTCACCACAATTTTTGAAAATTGGAAGATTTAATCTATATTTTGTGTTTGTTGATATTAAATATTGGGTCTTTTATAAATACAAACTACTTCCGCTTGCAGCAAACACACAAACAACTTCCGCTAGCAACAAACACCCTAACATTTCATAATTTTTGTTTTAAAAAAAAAATCAGGAAAAGAAGAAGTTATGGTTTTATTGGTTTTTCTAATGCTCTTGAGCTGGTTTATAGACTTCCCTGTACCAACAGACTATGATTATGTGCCCAATGTCGATCTGTGTAACGGATCTAACAGTAACAATGTCAATGATGACGAGGACATAAACAGTTATAGATATCCTTGTAACGCATATGAGTAGCTTCCGGGTCACCATGAATCTGACTATGTTTTTGATGACGAAGAAGATGGAGTACAGAAAGATGATGGAGTCCAGAATGATAACAAAGATTATGAAGACAGTGGTGGAAGTACAAAATTAGTACATCGTGGGATTACTAGTACACACTAAAAAAAAATGAGTTTGTTGAATCAATTATTTTTCATTTTTGTTTTACTTATAAGTGATGCAAAGGAATTTTGTATCACTTAAAAAATGGTTCTGAATATGGCGATGCAAATAATTAATATCTGTTTTTTTATAATTGATGCAATATTTATTTTCTTGCATCAGTTTTTTAATCGATATTAATAATCTGTCAGATACCAAAAAATGATACTACCTTTTGCATCAATTTGTAAAAGTGATATTTTAATTTGTGATGATTATACTTATTAATGTAAATTATTTACATCACATATAACTAATTGATGTGAAAATTAGTATCAATTTTGAAAAGTGACTCTAATTGTTATATCACTTGTTTGTACTTGATGTTATATTTACGCCAATTTCAATATGTGACACTAATAATTATGTCAGTTATATATAGTAAGGAGAAACTTAGTTTTCATATCATTTGTTAATTGATTCTAATATATCAACATTTTTGCAAATTTGGATTAAAAATATTAATTAATGGAATAACAAATTCAAATGAAACAATTAATAAAATAAAAATGATATAAAAATTTACTACTTAATATACTGAAAAACAAATTACATAAATCATCCTAAAAATTTCTGCAAATGCATAAAATATAAATAAACCAAAGTAACAAAGAAGTTTTGATAAAGTAATGTTGATCATGACTAGCTTCGATTAGCACCATCATCATTCTCCTATGTAAAAAAAAATAGATAACATATTAGTTTATCATCTGATATCTGGTGTCTATGAAACTAATTTGAGCTCTAATTTTTACTAATTTTGAAGATGTGGGTCTATAACCAAGACAACGTACTCGTCCAGGACGTTCGGGACCAAATACTTGAGCATATTCATCATCCAAACTAGCTATAACATTGGTTGCGACTTGCGGACTTTGAATAAGCAGCGATGTAAGTGCTTCCTAAGAAAACAAAACAAATGATAAATATCACACATTTAACTAGTAAATCCACATGACTACATGTACATTAATACAAAATTCCAATAAAACTAACCGCGCGTGTTTTCGCTTCCTCGGATACAAAGCTTCCATCAGCTTTCATACGAGTCTCAATAAATAATTCTGCTTGATTTGGTATTTTTCCAGTCTTGATTTTCTACGTTTAACATAAATAATATACAATATAAGTATAAGAAATTAGTGTTATATAACAACGAAATTACTCACAATCTCGTTTCTTCTTCTTGGAAAGCTCTTTCTTCCACATAAATAAGGCATAGTATTTTTTTTTTTTTTTGGTTCTTTGTATTCCGTTCTTGCATTTTCTGTAAGTACAAATTAAAATAAAATTACTTTCATAAGATATACAACTATATATAAATATTTAACGAATAAACTATACCTTCTACTTCTCTGTAAATCTCATCAGAACGAAATGACCCCACTGAAGTTCAGGAACATTAATGGGCCGATTCTGTAAAGTTTCATTCAAAGTACTTTTTTGTTTTTATCAACCGTTGAGTTGCTTGATATGTTTTAAGAGTTTGACAGCTTGGTCTTTTAGTTTACATGCCTATTCAAAGGTGCTGGTTTTTTGGTGAGGTTTTTGCTACATATATGGTCTAAAGAGGGAACCGTAAACATATGTCTAAAGAGGGAACCGTAAACATATGTAGTTCCCTGCGGAAATAATCTAAGTGAAACAATCTAACATAAATTGAATCAGTTTTAAATAATTGATGCAAATTAGATAATTATAACATCAGTTAATGTAAATGATATTAAATTATATATATTTGCTTCACTTATTAAAAAGTAATTTTAAATACAATCACTTAAATCTGTGATACAATTTAAACGATACAACATACTATTTTTTGTAGTGGTAGCTCTTCACGGCCATTATATTGTTTAGAACCGTGAGGACTGACTCGAACCGATAAGGCAGGTCGCTTGTTAGGAGAGATCTTGCGACGCGTAAGAGAGAAAGATTCCGTTGCAAAGATCTGATGGTGGAGTTGGCGCAGGGGCTGGGGCCATTATTGTTGGAGGGAGCTGAGACATAGACGGTGGAGTAAGGGTTAATAATAGTAACACTCCGAGTAAATTCGGAAGGAGTTGTCCCATTGTGCGTTTTGGAGAAAGAAACTAAACAAGAACCCAAAACACACAGACTAATCAAGAGTAAATGTCTAAGTAAGGTCAAAAGATTTCAATCATGCAATGAAGCAAAGACTTGACTTATATAAAATAATAAGACTCAACCCAAACAGTAAGCTCTTATTAAAAGTCCAATTTGGCCCAAACAAATTTCCACGTAAATAAAACTTGCAAACTCAGAAAAGGAACATACAAAAAGGCATTATACTACTAGCTCTCTCTCACAGGTTGACTTAAAGAAGCAAGTCTTCATGGCAAGTCATGTTCTGAGTTCTAAGCATCAAGCCAATGGAACGTAAGAAACAAACCATGATTCAGAAACATCATTTGGTTTGTTTAACTTAGTCGATGATAGTATAGTAACCGGTTTGAGTATACGATATTATCATCTGTCATCAAACCTATTTACTTAAATTATGAACTAAAATGTAACCATCTTCCTCAAATAATATAATTTGTTGTTGTTGTGGACTCTAGTCTATGCAACATCCTCTAACCTTTTGAGTATTTTAAGTTGTGTGTGTAGTGCTTCTGGTAAAAAAAAAAAAGTGGACTTGCTTTAAGAATGATGGTTTAAAAGGGAACATGTGACCTGACCATTCGTTTATAAATGTAATTCAAATCACACTTCCACTAAAAATATCATAAGCCTTATCCAAGTTTTATGTTTTGTATAAAGCATAGTTGAGATTAAACCCTTATAACTAAACCAAGTAGGTTGTAGTAATAATTTAGTTATCAAATTTCACAATTTCCTAAGCTAAATATTTGGAATAATAAAATTATACATCTGACGTAATTATCTGATGAGTTCATCAGCTTTTTAAAAAAACAGGCTGTATAAAATTAATTAGTCAGGCAAAGCAATAAGAGCCATTGTTAATGAATGAGCAGGTGTTATTATGTGAGAGCAGTGCCTACCTATTGCATTAATTTTAAGTGTTGAACTTAAAAAACCAGATTCTCTAATCTTTTTTGAAAAAATTGTTTGTGCATTAAATTAAGGAATTGATCACAAAACTCTTTTTTTTTTATAAAACCATCCCTAGTCATAGCACCAAGGCACCAATACAATGAATGAACCAAACTTTGAAAGTTGAGAAAGAGACAGACAAGGTAAGGGACCTCATTTGTCTTTTATTTTACAGTCGAATCCTATGAATGTGGAGCACTAAATCAAAAATTTACAATTTCATGGGACATATTATTATTATTTATTATTACATGAAGACAAAGTAAAATGCCAAATTTCATTAAAAAAATTTCCCCACTTTATTCCAAAAAAAAAAAAAAAAAAAGTAGAAGAATCTTGTGAGTCTTCCTTCTTGACCAAATTGATAAAGAAGAAAGAAACTGTAACGATCACCATCGTCGTGTATGTTGGTCAATACTAAAATTTGTTCTTTTCTTCTGCATGAACTTTCTTTATTTTTGTTAATCTGATAATAATATACTAGATTCTAATTCGCGGTACACCGCTGACTAATTTTTTTAACTAAAACTTTTAACTTTGATTTTTTTTTTAATGTTTTAAGATGTATAACTCTATTTTGTTTGTCAATTTTTCTAAGACATTGTTTTATACCCAAACTTTTTAAATTTTAAATTATATTTTTGATTGTTTAGTATTTAAGATTGTATAATTTTATTTTGATTGTTAATTATATAATTTAATCCGTGAAGGCGTGAAGTATCGCGAGATAATAATTTTGTAAAATGATTTTTGAAATCAATTTTGTAAAAAAGAAATAGAAAGATTTTGTAGAGATGCTTTAGGAATATAACGTTAAATGTAAAGATTCTATAAATAAAAAAAAAACTGTTGTAAAAAAAAAGATATTAGGAGTTTTTAAATATTGGTTTTCTAATTTTATTAAAAGATAACTAATATTAAAGTCATGTGATTGTAAATAAGTTGAAATCCTAAAAAATTTCTAAAAAAGTTCTGAAACAAATGTTATAGTAGATTGCCGAATGAGAAAAAAAAAAAAAACTAAAAGCTTTTGTCTTATTTTTCACCTATAATTTCCATAAAAAATAATCGTTGATTATTGTCATTTAGAAAACGTACTTTCCCTGACACGAGAAACATAACATAATCTTTATTTCATCATTATAATTTTTTTCAAAACATAACAAAAAGATAGTTTTGTTGACTGAATATATAAACATGCTAATGTTGTGTATAGTACGTAATGTATCATTTTGGATAATGCTTTTTTCCCTTTATGAATAAAAACAAATAATGATCATAAATTTTTTAAAAATTATTATTATATATAAAGTCAATAGATTCTCATATGAATATATATTAACGAGTAAAGTAATTAAGTTGCTATAAACGAATATAAACAGAATAGTTATCGTTGAAACTTGAAATCACAAAAATAAATTCTTAATACGTTTATATGAATATACAAAAATACTTATATACATAGAAACTTTATGTCGGTTAAAAGCTTAAAGATTCTCCCACACATTTGAAGCTAAAATTCGCATGAAACCAAGAGAATAATATCTTTTTATTTATTTTATGTTATACTAATAAAAAGAAACATATAACTAGTATTAATTACGTGTCACTTTCGTTTTGTCGCCTTGTGGATTAGATCAACATAGTTTATCACACTAACCACTTATCTAAGATTTACAAAATCCCTTTTTTTAATTTTCTTAAACTAAAAGTTGCATTTGCATGGTGGCTAGAATTTTATAATTATGTAAACAGAATAATTAAACTATACTCTAACTTACTTCCATCAACATTTTAAATTAACATTGTCACACGTTAATGTACACTCCAAAAAGGTAAAGCGATAAAACTTAAATATTTTACTAGGTGCGCTCCCATAGATTTAACGAAAATACCCAAAACACCCTTAAGCCATTACACTTAAATAACAAAACGACAAAAAATCACCTAAGGGTAAAAAAGTCAAAACCGCACAAATTTTTTTGTTTTCCAATCAGTAAACGAAACCGCCTCTTTGGTTACTCGGATCTCGACTGTAACGCGACGGCACAGTCACCGGAGAATCAGATTTCTTATTCTTCTTCGTCGTCTTCGTCGTCGTATTCGTATTATTAACATAACAGTAGTCTCTTCTCAAGCTATCTTCTTCGTCAGTAACCATCTGCTTCGATCTACACTCCACGCTACAGAACGCTCTGTCACCTCTAAAACCCATAAAAAAACACACAAATATAAACACAAATCAAGAAACTCAAAAAAGAATCTTGATTTTTTTAATGTAAGAACTTACTTATACATGTAGATGTCTTTGGCTGGGAGGAGTTTTCGTCTACAGAGGAAACAATGTTGGAGAAAGTCAGAATCTTGTTGTTGACAATGACGACGGAGATAAGTCGTGGAGGAGGAGACTATGACGTTGGCTTTGTTGATGACTTTAGGACTAATTAAACAGCCACCGTCACTTACTGTGTTGTTGTTGTTGTTAGTCATCATCTCCAAAACAATACTTAGTCCCACCATTTTTTTTTTGTTTTTGTTTGTTGGGTTTCTCTCTTATCTCATCTCTATGGTTTTGAGTTTTCAGGTGTTTGTTAATGGCAAAGAAGAAGAAGAAGAAGAAGATGAAGGAGAAGTTTTTTTTTTTTTTTAATTAGAGAAAAGAAATGGTTTAATAGAGAGAACAGAGAAGAGAGAGGACGATTGATTTGATATGTGTTTGATTGATAAACGCCACGTGTTACGTTCTCTTCACTGTTCGTGTTAGTCGTTTTTTTTTTTTTTTTTTTTTTCTTCTTTTTAATTTTTAACACCAATTTATTTGGGGGGAGATAAATGTTTTTTTTTTTTTACAATATTTATCGGAATTTTACGTTTTGTCGTTTTGCCTTGTTTATAATTAATATAGTTATTATAGGTGAATTATTATTATTATTTTTTTTTTTTTAAGACGTGTCATCATCTTGAAGTTTTACTGTTTCAGTGTTTATTTTCATGTTTGTTGTATCATTTTCTAACTCTATTAATTTCGTTTGATGCTAATGAGATAAGTAGATTTCTAGCAAAAAAAAAGAAAGAAAGAGTAGATTTCTTAGAAGATTTTTTTTTTATATATAAATACTTATCATTGATAATATATAAGCCAAGAAATTTTAGAACTCTATACCGATTACAAGGTGTTTTCAAAGACGAGTAACACGTACAATACAAAAAAAAAACCAATACAAGAGCACATTACATAAATACATATATATTCAACAGTTTCGAATTTCGATAATAATTAATTTGATCAATGATCCTTCATATATATATCTAGTTCTCTTATTCTTGTGTGTGCTTAATTGAGGTGTATGAGTTTTTCGATGTGCTTAGGGCTAGAAAGTGCATGGAAGGTTAGATCTTTGCTACTCGAATAACATCATGGTTATCATATCTCACGAGGCTAAGAAGATAAAGACATAGTCACCGTAGTAATGTGATGTGTGTGTTCCTTCTAGTAATGAAGGTTACAAAATCCATGTGTTGTCTAGTGTGTGTACATGAATGTATCGTACGCAATAATGCGTGTGTTATTAACTACTTACTGTATTAGGAATTTTTGTTGTGCGTCGGAATTTTCTATGGCCCAGATAGTTAGTTAAAAGGCTACAAGTTACAAGAATTTGATTTCATTTCATAAAAGTGATATAAGAAGGCCCAAACCTAAATTGATACTAGCTAGTATATATCAGATATGTATAGAATATTGGAGGCAGAACTCACACTAAAGTAATTTTGCTTAGAATATTTACAGTTGAACATGAAATGACACATGAATATATATTCATATATAGAATATATGTGAACATTTTCATTGACTTACTATTATTTTCTACAAAATTTTGCATAGTTGTTATTAAAACTTCACTAAACCAATAATAATACAATTTTTTTTTAAAACTCTTCACCACAATTTTTGAAGTTAAAAATTAATTAATCATTTCCATTACTACAATATAATGTGTTAAACTAGCTAGTTCTGAAATTTGATGACAAAACTAGTTCTAAATTATTATTTTATGCAAACAAGTATTGATTTCACTACATTAAGTCCAGCTAATTAAGGATTGTCTATTCTGGTTTTATCTAAATATTTTCATATACTTCGTTTTTGGATAATTTTTATTTTTTAATTATGTCCGTTAACAACTTAACATACGAATGTTCTCTTTCAAATAATTATGTCCTCTCGTATTATATTTTTTCTTAAGAAGAAGATGTGTGGTGTGGGGTTTGTTTGTTTTAGATACAAGACAAGCAATGGTTTTGATTAATTATGGAAGAGCATCACTCTTATTGATGATGATTAGACTACTAAACACATCATGACTCCAAAACAATCACACATAAACATATTTCAATTTTCACGTGGACATTTTTTCAAACATGATTATTCTAGTCAAATATTAATCTTTAATTTGGAATTTAGATACTAACTAATGTTAACGTTAACTTATTCCTTTCTTAATTACTCATCTTAACGTTCGTTACAAATAGCCTAATAGGTTACAAACCCTATTAGAAACAAACACAAAAAGATTAATTTTGAAAACTTCCAGAGTAATTTAAATTTAAAAGCTTACTTATGATTGAACATGTCATTATTCGTCATTCGTCAAGATTAATTAATAGACAAGACATAATAACTAAAAAGATTATAGGTTGCTAATTATTTGCGAGATCAGGACCCAACTGATGACGTTTACTTTACACAAATGGCTGCTTTTCTATTTCAATCATTTTATCCTAATTTTCCTATACGATTGTGTTTACTTGTTTGAACATTTGAGTTCTCTAATTGTTTCAAAAACATTTGAGTTCTCTAAGGTCTTAACTATATAAATCAAGTTGGTATACAAGTTTCAAACGTTTTAAGAGCGTGAATGGATACAACGGTCCGAAGAGACAAAACTATCTACGGATCTAACCGTTTTTTATTTACCCTAATTGTATTCGTAATTGTGCGGTTTTAAAGAAAAAAAAAAGACCATTCCAGACCAAGTACAAACCGCTTTTATGTACAAATAGAGTTGATCCGCCATGGTTTGTTGTCCACCCTCAAAAACATAATGGATTAAATACTTTATATTGGTATTTTCAAGAATATCCATTCATTACTTTTTTGATTACTTATGGCGAATGAACTCAAAGCAAAATGGGTCAAATGACTCAAGTTTATAGAAAGTAGTAAGCCACAATGTGGACAATAACATAGAGAATAATATATTTATGTTTCCACCATAGAGATTTTCCTCAATGAATGTTGCATAATTATTGCATTATGTTAGGGTCTAAAAAGTACATTGATAAGAGAGGAACTAAGTGCTATATCTAGTGAGAAATGTCAAAACTCAAAACTATATAACTCGGTTCCATTTATACTCCAGCATGGATATTAATATAATCCATCATATTACAAAATCTAATATTTTCAATTTTTGTATCATGTCCACCTTTATGCTCTTAAAAGTTAGAGTCACTATTTACAGTTTTAATATCAATTTACTCTAATGCTATTTATTTAAATTTGGTCTCTAGTAATAGCAACTAGAATTTATGTTATAACTGGTTATATTACTTTAACCAATTAAAAGTTATTCCTATGGTGTAAAACGAATTTAGCACAAATTAACTATTATAGTCACTTAGACATATATACATGAATGTGAATTATATATGCACAAAAAGTCTTTTTCTTTGGTTGCAATTAAATCAAGTGGGACTATGGATGCATGCAACAAAAGCAGATACAGATAAATAACATATCAAACTCAAATTGTCGGAGAAAAGAAAATTAATGGTGTTGATTTTTTTTATCAAACTAATTAATTATTATAGGGAAAAGAAACTAATTCACATAACATATTAACAAAACAATACTCCCTTCGTTTTAGAATAGATGATTTTTTGAGCAAATGCACACATATTAAAAATCATTTGAGTTTTGTTTATTTTTAAAAAACATCATTTAATATCTATATTTAACACAATTCAACCAATGAAAAACAATCTGCAAAATATAAATTAATGAAAACCATAAGACAATATTTAATTTTGCGTAGATTGTGAGAAAATCATCTATTTAAAAAAAAAAATACCTAAAAAATCATCTTTAGAAGAACGGAGGGAGTATAAAATAAACCATCTAATTAAAAAATATGTTTCACTTGAAGATGCTAGGGGAGATTCACGCCCTCGAGAAGTCTGTTTGTAACTTGTAGTTTTTTAATAATATGAGGAGGTGTTTTACCTCACCTCCTCTCTCTTACCCAGAAAAAAAAGAGATGTTTCACTTTCACTTTTATCGGTTAATTTCACATTTTAAAATTTAAAATACAGAAATTTACACTTAATTATTGGAGAAATCTAGCTAGATTGGATCAATATTATATCTTTGTTTTCTTAAAACCTTATTCTAAGAGTTTGGTAATTAGACCTTTTATATTAATTAAAATCCAATAATACACTCCTATAAATATAATAAAGAGTAATGGTTTACAAGAGGTATGCAGAGATATATCTGAAAGGAACATGAAAATTTATCGTAAACTTCGACCAGAACATGGTTTTAGTGGACACACACTTAATATGGGAGTTGGATATCTATATGAAATTCAAATTGTTGTCTCTTACCGAGAATCTGGTTCTTTAATTTACTTTCAATCTTTCATATATGTTTGATATCAACTAAGTGCCGAATAAGAATTAGGCTTTAGTCGAGACAATGGAAAAGGCTAATCATGTTGGCCATAATCAAGAAATTAAGCTGTTGTTGTGAGGCAAGAACTATTGCATTACTTAAGAAGGAGAAGCATTGCCTGATTAAATCGAATATAATCTACTTTTGATTATGTGCTCAGATATATATATTATTCGTTACTATTCAAGTTTGAAACCATGTTGGAAAATCTCTAGTTCTTGTTAGTTGGTTAATTTCCTATATATATATATATATGTATTTTATTGTTAGTTGATCGATATTTTGTATTCTTGTTACTTTTGTAACCTTTAAAAGATGGTTTGTGTTACTAGCAGTAAATTCCTATGTTTAAATGATGCATCAAGATATAACACGTTTATTTCATTCAAATAACAATAATATATACATTAAAAATTTCGGTTTTGCAAATTCTTTTGGGTTTGATTCAAATCATCTAAATCATATAGTAACTTTGAAAATAAATATATAAACACATATGTTGCCAATAAAAACAAGGGAATACTGTATCTTGGTTGCCTTTGTCTTCAAAATAACTAGGTTCGGACCCGCGCTACAGCGCGGGGGAAATAATTATATATATATAACCTTTAACGGATTAGAATATGTTACATTTTAATTTTATTGCAATCCAATCAATTACGATGAATCATATATTTGTATAATAAGTTTAAATAAAATAATAAAAGAAAAAGTGAGTAAATAATTATATATTGAGTTTTGATACAACTAAATCACGGTGAAAATTCAACAGCACGAAATAATATTTGTCGATAAAATATTCATTTTGACCATTTTGTAGTAGAAGTAGGAATATACGTAAAAATTACATATTTACAATAAAAATTTTGAATGACCAACC